AATAACCTTAAAAGGACAATGCTAGCCTTATTACCCAATCTTTTTTGAAGGTCTACTGATTATGAGCTATCATGGCTGTAAAAAATATTTATCACCACAGAGATAGATTTTCTCTGGATAGAACTGTTCCTAAACTGATCCTTTAGGTATTCCAAAGATGCATTTTCTCATGGAATACAGAATATTAAAATGGGAGGGAACTTCGGATGCCTTTTAGTCCAATCCCTTGCTCAAGCAGGGAACCCTATACCAGTGATAGCTAGCCCTTTTTGGGTGTGAAAAGCCGGCTCCCATAATGCAATGTGCGCCCCCTGCACATGTGTGCACGACCCCTACACATCCCCCACGCATGTGCATGAGGTGTGGGATTCAAAAACTTTAGCAACCTGCACCACAGCGGGGAGGGGGCATTTTCACCCTCGCAAGATTCCGGAAGCTTTCCTTGAGCCTCCGGGAGGGCGAAAACGGCCTACCCCAGGGTCTGGAGGCCCTCTGGAGGCTGGAAATGGGCCTGTTTCCGCACTTCTGGAACGCATGCGGCGCTCCCCCCACACTCCGCCCACCCCAGCACATGCATGCGTGTCTCCCACATGCGTCCCGCCCCCTGCACATCCTGAAAATCAGCTGGCTGGCGGAAGACGTGCCCATGCGCAGTAGATGTGAGCTGGGCGACGGCCCATGTGCCCACAGAGAGGGCTCTGCGTGCCGGCTGTGGCACGCGTGCCATAGGTTCGTATACTTTATTTGGCCACGTGTGATTAGATACAATGAATTTGTCTCCCGTGCAGAAGCTCTCAATGTACATACAAAGCAACAGAGTAGTAATCATAGTAATACCAATAAGGGGGTACCAGATTTGGATTATCAAATCTGCATTTCTAAAAGCTGGCCGCCTCACTTTCTGCTTGGGGGCAGGGAGACTGGTGCTGGTGTCTGTCTCCCTTAAGATTTTTCCCCATTTCTCCATTAGGGGAAATATTCTATCTTGCCTTTTTAAAAAAAGAATATTTCCCAAAATATTTCATTCTTCTGGGATGGGGGTGGAGGTTTCCTACAAGAGGCTGAACAGCTAAGAGAAGTAGGACTAGGTTTAGCCTATTAAAGAGAAGGCTTGGGCGTGACATGATAGCTGTCTTCCAATACTCAGACTGCTCAGGGACTACCATCAGTCAAATTATGCCGACTGGCGACTCCCAGGGGGAGGGCCTTCTCTGTGAGGGCTCCAACCCTTTAGAATGAACTGCCCCGAGATACGAAATATCCCTGATCTCCGTGCTTTCCGCCGTGCCCTCAAAACCCTGATGTTCCAACAAGCGGGGCTAAACATATGAACATGTGAATGTTTTTAAAATGATATCTAGGTTCTATTTAATTGGGCCAAACTATCTTATAATAATAATTTTAATTAGCAATTTTATGATGTTTGTGTATATTTTTCTTGACTGTACACCGCCTTGAGTCCTACGGGAGAAAGGCGGTATAGAAATATAATAAATAAATAAATAAATACTTGAGGGGCTATCAATAGATGGAAGCCGGTCGGAGAGATTCAACTGGGGAAATAAGGAGAAATTTCCCAACAGCGCTAACAATCAGTGGAACAGCTTGTCTCCTGGAGTTATGGATGCTCCATTGTTGGAGGCTTTTGAGAAGATTCGTCAACCATTTGCCCAGGATGATATACAGTCTCCTGACTTGGGCAGGGGGTTGGACCAGAAGGGCTCCAAGGTCCCTTCCAACCCATGATTCCTTGAAAATGGAAAGATGGATACATTCAAAAGTTGTCCAAAGCCGCTGGATTGAGAAGATTGTGGATTGGGAGAGAGGAGGGAAGAACACCTCACCTAGGGGTGAAATCCAACAGGTTCTGATAGGTTTTGGAGAACCGGTAGCGGAAATTTTGAGTAGTTCGGAGAACCAGCAAATACCAACTCTGGCTGGTCTGAGTGGGGTGGGAATGGAGATTTTGCAATATCCTTTTCCCAGGAGTGGGGGAGGGAATGGGGATTTTGCAGTATCCTCCCCCTGGAGTGGGGTGGGAATGGAGATTTCGCAATATCCTTTCCCCCAGGAGTGGGGAGGGATTTTGCAGTATCCTTCCCCTGCCACACCCACCAAGCCACACCACGCCCACCAAGCCACGCCCACAGTAGTAAAAAAAAATTGAATTTCACCCTTGACCTCACCCCATTCCTAAGAGGTCTGTAAGGGGTGTGCATAAGCGCACCAACATGCCTACCGTCCCTGTCCTACTGTCCCCATGTATTTGCATCCTTATCTTGTATTCATGTTTATACTTATATCTGTTATCTTATGTGTTTGACAAATAATAATAAATAAAAATAAATAAACTTCCTTCTTCCCGCCCCCACCCCCAAACTCCATGGAAAAATGGTTTCCTTCTCCACTCCTGGCATGAGCAGTTGCATTGCAAGCAGAATCCTCCAGGGGCCGCCCTCTTGCCAAAGGAAGGTAACATCAGGCGCTTCCCCGCTAGAGGGCGAAACTGGCTTTCCAGAGGAGGAGTGTGTGTCGCCCGACCCTCCTCTGGCTTCAAACCCGGGTCACATGCTCCCCAGCCGCCCTCTCCATGGAGAGCAGAGCAGCATCTGAAGAAGAACCAGGGATGCCAGGAGGCGGTGGGGATTCGGGGGTCCCTTCCCTTACCCTTGTCTGGGGGAGAGCCCAAGTGGGGGGAGGGGAGGCCCAGCAGGAGAGGAGAGAAGCCGGGCGAGGAGGAGGCAGGATTCGCACCAGGGTCCCTGAAGGCCCCATCCTGTCTTCGGATATGGGGGGGCAGGGGGTGGGGGAGAGAAGCCGGGTAGCATCTCCAGATTCATCTTGAATCAGAATAGATTAGATTAGAATGGAATAGATTAATATTAATTAATTGATTAGAATAGAATAGATTGAATCATCCATCTCCAAATTATCTCCTTGAATCAGAATAGATTAGATTAGAATGAAAATAAATTGAATCATCCATCTCCAGATTCATCTCCTTGAACCAGAATAGATTAGATTAGAATGGAACAGATTAATATTAATATTAATAGATTAGAATAGATTGAATCATCCATCTCCAGATTCATCTCCTTGAACCAGAATAGATTAGAATAGATTAATATTAATTAATATTAATAGATTAGAATAGAATAGATTGAATCATCCATCTCCAGATTATCTCCTTGAATCAGAATAGATTAGATTAGAATAGATTAATATTAATATTAATAGATTAGAATAGAATAGATTGAATCATCCATCTCCAGATTCATCTCCTTGAATCAGAATAGATTAGATTAGAATAGATTAATATTAATATATAAACGTTTAAATTTTGTAAATCCTTCTGGCCATGCCCACTCCGTCCCTCCACCCCACCCCCAGGTCAAGCACAACCCTGATGCGACCCTTAATGAAATCGAGTTTGACACCCTTGCCTTATATCATCCTGGTCAAAGAGATGTCCAATCTGTTTTTGAAAACCTGCAGTGATGGGAGCACCCACAATTCCAGGAAACAAGCTGTTTCATTCATTTAAGTATTTTCGCTCTCAGGAAATTTCTCCTTACTTTTAGGTTGGATTGTATGTATGTATGTATGTATGTATGTATTTATTTATGGAATTTCTATACCGCCCTTCTCCTGAAGGACTCAGGGCGGTGAACACACACACACACACACACACACACACACACACACACATATAGAGAGAGGGGGGGGAGGGAGGGAGAGAGAGAGAGAGAGAGAAGGCTCTCTCCCTTGGAACTACTAGACGACATTGTTTTAATGATGGTACTATGAGTAGGCCTACTCTGTGAGAGCATATTGGTTGGTGGAAGGTTATCGGTTGCAGCAGGTGGTCTCGTAAGTACTCAGGTCTTAAGCCATGGAGCACTTTAAAGGTAAGAATCAACACCTTGAAACGCACTTGGAAGGCCACCGGAAGCCAGTGCAGCTCGCGTAGAAGAGGTGTTACATGTGAGCGCCATGTTGCTCCCATAATTACTCGCGCGGCCGCATTCTGGACCAGTTGGAGCTTCTGGCTGCACTTCAAGGGGAGCCCCATGTAGAGAGCATTGCAGTAGTCAAGTCGGGAAATGACGAGGGCTTGAGTGACTGTGCGTAATGAGTCCCGGTCTAGAAAGGGACGCAATTGGCGAATCAGTCTTTAACGAGCTTCCACCCATTACTTCTTGTCCTGCCCTCAGATGTTATGGTGAATAAGTCAGTCCCCTCTTCTGTGACAGCCGCTCAAATACTGGAAGGCAGTTATCACATCCCCCCCAATACTTCTTTTTGACAGGCTAGTTATACCTAGCTCCCTCAACCATTCATCATACAATTTAGCCTCCAGACCGTTTGATCCATATTGCTATCTTGACGATTCCTTCTCAAGGCAATTGCTTTCTTCTTTGGAAGATGAGGTGCAACTTGATCATCCTGCACTCTGTTCTGCAGTGAAGAACCACCTTTGAATATCTATGGTTGTAAGAGTCACCATCAGTGAGTTAAAATGAGACCTTACAATGTCCTAAAGAGGCCAACATCCAGCCAGGATTCTTGCTTGCTGCTCAGTAGTCCCTGAGGTTAAATTAGAACTCCCAGATTTGGGATACTAAACTCTGACACACTAGCACAAGAAGATTAAAAAAATATATCCTAATTTATTGCTGCCATCTAGAACTGACCTACATCTTTTATCCCAGATATAGCATTCTTCTTGAAATGTATTTGAATGTAAGTAGCATTCTTCTTTTCAGACCCATTTCTATACCGACTATCATTGACTTCATTTTTCCTCTTTGCATTAATGTGCAGTGTAGCCTCATTCATATAGAACAGGGGTCTCAAACTAGCGGCCTGTGGGCTGGGTGCGTCACGTGCAGGCCACGCCCACCCGGCTCTGCAAAAGGAAAAAACATTGTGATACGTCACGTGACGGCAATGTGACAGGGCGAATTTGACACCGATGGTATAGAACATCCAAGCAAACATTTTAGGAAAACTTTGTTTTATTTCTATGACAACTGTGAATGGCATAGAGTATATACCCAGTGTCTGTAAACTAAACAAAAAATAAACTTTAATTCCTATAAAAGCACCATGAATATCAGTTACATTAATAAACTGCCAAAGGAAAACATCTCACCCCTCACCCCTCACTCATGAAAAAAATAATCTTTTTGCAGTTGGAACCCAAAGTAACAATATAAATGAGTGTTCGCTGAAGAAGTCCATTCCGTGTTAGGCCTGAAGATTCTCTAATCTTTCACGCATGATTTTCTTCTGTCCATCACATTATGGCTAGCAAAGGACTTAAATCAGAATCAGAAGAGAGCTGGAAGGGACCTTGGAGCACTGGTAAAATCCATTTTTTTTTTTACTACCAGTTCTGTGGGTGTGGCTTGGTAGGCATGGCATCACTGGGGGGAGTGGCTTGGTGGGCGTGGCAGGGGAAGGATACTGCAAAAGCTCCATTCCCTCCCCACTCTGGGGCCAGCCAGAGGTGGTATTTGCCGGTTCCCCAAATTACTCAAAATTTCCGCTACCAGTTCTCCAGAACCTGTCAGAACCTGCTGGATTAACTCCTGTCTTGGAGGTCTTCTCGTCCAGCCCTCTGCTGGACTTGGATAACAGGACGTCTCTGTATTTTAGGACAATATTCCTTCGTATGAATCCTTTGCACTCAATTCAAATTACTTGCCCGTTCCACTTATATAGACTTTTTGGGTGGACTTATTGATGAGAAATTAGGTCAAAACCCTAACTAAAGCTCTTCCCCTACTCTCGGCAGTTACTTCTTTTTCAAGTGGGCCCTCCTTCTATGTGAAGTAAGGTTACTGCTAGTTTTGAATGTCTTCCCGCACACCTTGCATTTGTAACGTTCCTCCCCTGTGTGGCTCCTGTTGTGATAACGAAGCGCACTGCTGCAACGAAAACACTTTCCGCATTCCGTACACTTAAATGGTTTTGCTATTAAGTGGATCCTTTCATGGGAAATTAGGTCACATCCCTGACTAAAACTCTTTCCACATTCCGTACATTTATGGGGTTTCTCTTCTGAATGGATCCTTTTATGGAAAGAAAGCTTACCACTCGTGATGAAGCTTTTCCCACACTCGGCACATTTATATGGCTTTTCCCCCGTGTGAGTTCTTTTATGAGAAGTAAGACTGCTATTCCATTTAAAACATTTCCCACACTCCGTACATTGATATGGTTTCTCTGTCCTATGGACTCTTTTGTGATAACAAAGCTGAGAGAAGCTTTTCCCACATTCCAGGCATTTGTACGGTTTTTCCCCTGTATGACTCCTTTTATGAGAGATGAGGTGACTACTTTGACTGAACCTCTTTCCGCACTCCATACATTTAAATGGCTTTTCCCCAGTGTGAGATCTGTTATGACATGTAAGGGCAGCGCTCTTGTTGAAGCTCTTTCCGCACTCCATGCATTTATATGGTTTCTCCTCTCGGTGCGTCTTTTCATGACGCACAAGCGATCCCATTTCAGGGAAATTCATCCTGCACACCATGCATTCATATGTTTTCTCTCCTATATGGATTCTTTTGTGGTATGAAAGGGAGCTGCTTTTCTGGAATCCTTTCCCACATTCCACGCACGTGTATGGTTTCTCTCCCTTATGGCTCCTTTTATGAGAAATTAGGTAAGCCCTCTGACTGAAACTTATTCCACACTCTGTGCATTCGTTTGAGTGAATTCTTCTATGAATAGAAAGAGTGCTGCTTGTACTGAAGCTCTTTTTGCACTCCCTGCATTGATACGGTTTCTCTCCTGTGTGGATCCTTTTATGGGAAACCAGACAATGTTTCCATCGGAAGCTTCTTCCACACACTGGGCATTTATATGATTTCACTTGTGTGTGGATCTTTTGATGAGACCTAAGGGAACAATTCTGACTGAAGCTCTTTCCACACTCCAGACATTTATATGGCTTCTCTCCTGTATGGATCCTTTTATGGCAAGTAAGATCAGAGCGCCTCCGGAAAGTGCTCCCACATTCCGTGCATTCATAGGGCTTCTCCCCGCTGTGGATCTTTCTATGATAATTAAGGTGACTACTCTGAGAAAAGTTCTTTCCACACTCCATGCATTTAAAAGGTTTTTCCCCACTGTGGGTTCTTCTGTGAGAATTAAGATGGCTTTTTTGACCAAAGCTCTTCCCACACTCCAAGCACTGGTATGGTTTCTCCCCTGCATGCATCCTTCTGTGGGAAGTAAGATAATTGCTCCATTTGAAGAGTTTCCCACACTCCAGGCATTTATATGGCTTTTCCCCTGCTCTTCTCCTTTCAGCTAAAGAAAGAGTTTTTTTCTTATATTTTCCTTTGTCCGACAATTCAGAACCTTCTCCTTTAGTATAAATTCTGCTGTTTTTATTTACTACTACTGTGTCTTCGAATACTTCCTTTCTTTTCCCTAACATCTTCTCTTTTTCCCTTCCTTTCCAAGGTTGTTGTTGAAGGGCATCTTGATTCTGAATACAGTGAGGATTGATTTTTTTCCTCCCCTGTTTTTTTGACTGATTTTTCTCTTTTATAAGTCTTTCTTCTTTTTTCTGATTAATCTCTTGAAATGGTTCCTGGCAACCGTCATTCTCCTGCCCATGAGCTCCTTGAGAAGAAAAGAGAGAAGAAAAATTGGATGAAGCTAGGGGAAAGAAAAAGAATCAAATCAAGGGTAAATAAATTCCCTCCCAAGATTTTGTTGACTTATTACAATAAGAAATAACCCATTGTTGCAACATTTATTCATTGTGGACATCTGATGGGATTATTACAATTTCAGGAATATAAAGATGCATGGTCAATATGCAGATGTAGTTTCTATTTAAGGAACCCCTTCAAAAGTCAATTTCTGTTAAATAGCAAACCAATTCAAGTAAATCATTTCTATTTTATGTGGTTCATAGGACAAGCAGGCAGCTTCTTGTCCTACACAAGAAGTCACTGTGAAGGTCAGAAGTCAGATCATTAGGTCCATAATAGAATAGAATAGATTTATATTGATATTGTTTCCTGATTCCTAATTTGTACCCTATGACTATCATTAAGTGTTGTACCTTATGATTCTTGATGAACGTATCTTTTCTTTTATGTATCCTGAGAGCATATGCACCAAGACATTCCTTGTGTGTCCAATCACACTTGACCAATAAAAAAGTTCTATTCTATTCTATTCTATTCTATTCTATTCTATTCTATTCTATTCTATTCTATTCTATTCTATTCTATTCTATTCTATTCTATTCTATTCTATTCTATTCCATTCTATTCTATTCTATTCTATTCCATTCCATTCCATTCCATTCCATTCCATTCCATTCCATTCCATTCCTTTATATAGGAGATGAGATCTCGTTGGAGAGAAATGTTTGGCTGAATCTGACCACCTTCTAAACGTTTGCAGGCTGAGCAGGGGACTCTTACCCAGAGAGGCCACATTCTGAGAATTCTCCAGCATCACTTCCTCGTGGAGGGCTTTTTGGTGGGCATCCATTTGAGACCACTCCTCCTCAGAAAAATACACCGCTACCTCCTCAAAGGACACAGGACCCTGAACAAGGAAACAAATTCCCCTATTAACAGACGACGACAGATTTAGAAGTTCAAAAATCACATAAGGGGCAATGAGTGAAAAATAAAGATGTAAAACTTTATATAAGAAAAGGGGCAAAGTTCACAGGTTTTCACCGAACGCACAGTTGGGACAAGTTTAATTTACATGACGGAATTTCCCATTCAGTAACACAGTTAACTCCTGAATCAATTGGCAGTTGGACCTCAAACACACAGCCGTAATGGGGGGAGGTGTCCTTCCTAACATATTAGCTAATATGAAGGTGAATGTATGTGTTCTAGGAAAATGTTGCAGGATCCAATCTCGATCGGTCACAGGGACCAGAGGTTTTGTCTTCCGAGTTTTCTGTCTTGTGTTGGTACCCATTCTCAGGGAACTCTACCAGAATGTTCTGGTAGAGAGAAGTTCACCGAGGATGGGCTTCAGCACAAGTCCAAAAGCTCAGAAGACAAAACCTCTGATTCTGGTGACCGACCCGGATTGGATGTTAGCTAATGTCCAATGTATCTCTACACTGACTGAACAGCATCACAAATGTGCTGGAGAATTCATATTAGGATCTGTGTGAAGGCCATTAACCCGAGGATGACCAATTTCTGCTTTTCAGATTATAGGGAATATATTTGTGGTTCAAACTTCCAAGCCCAAGATTCTTCTTCTATCTGATTAGCTTCAATGGATCCTTTCTGAAAGTCTCATAAAATATTTCTATTCCATTTACTATGTAACCTATCTCCTAAAGAAATATTAAATTGCAGATTCTACTTTACGCTGTTCTTCAAACCAGAGGGTCCTTTTTCCCCCCTCCTGAGACTAGATTTCAAATGATGCTTTTTTAAAATGTAAATGTTATTTATCAATTTGGAAATGTGATGTTAGGTAATGTTCAGTTCAGTTCTGAACTGAAGCTTCTTGGCTGAGAAGCGAAATGTTTTCAAGGAGAAAAAAAACCCCCCCAGGAAGACTAGTTGCCTTTTGGAAAAGCACCTGTTTCCCTGCATCTTCTGAGATTTGTTCTGCTACCTGAGCTGGAGCTTCAGCTACGTCTTCAGCTTCACTGGAACAAGATGGCTGTACGAATACAAATGAGATGGTTCTGTTCCCTGTGAAGGAGACAACAGCGATAAAAGAATAATTTTTAAAAACCCAACAAATAAAATATGGAAAGGCATTCTATCCAAGGGGAGCCAGAACATTCACACTGCTTAGAACGACCTTTCTCTTACCTCCTGAGGTGCCCTGATCAGGATCTTCGGTGGAGAAGGGCTCGAAAAGCAGCTCCTCAGAGGGATATTCTCTATCTGGATCTTCAGGGATGACAGCTGAGGGGGACTCCTGCTGCTGCTGAAACAGAAGGAAGGAGAAAAGGAATAGAAGAAAGGAGAAAAGGATGAATGGACCAACAGAGATGAAGTAATGGATATTTCTCAATCCACAATGCTGTGGTCCCTTATATCCATCAGTGGAGGTGGAAACTAAAAAGGAAACATTTGCCCCAAATGGAAGGAACTGAACAATCTGCCACAAGAGTTTATTTATTTCAGTTTAAAAAAACCCGTCAGCTGAAGTTTTTGTGGCGGTTTACAGTAGAAGAGCAACAAATGTGTTCTTAATCTTAAAATGCCAGAAATCCCCATGCCATGGTTGACTTGCTACGCAATCTGCTCGCAACCATACAATAATGGGAGGGGGAGGGAAGGCATTGGAATGTAAGGGTAGCTTGGGAGGGAAGCTCTGGAATGCAAGTGTGCCATCTGGAAGCCGGAGACAGTTCCACCCCCAAGGTCACCAAATCGGAGAATGTCCGAGGCAAACCGATTGTTCTCAAAACAAGCCAGGTTCAACTGATTGGTGGGCAAAGGACCATGTGACAATAAAGTTATTCTAAGTCTATGTCTATGGAAGGACCAGGGAGGAAAAAGGGGAATTTATCTTATGCTGTTGTGCGTGAAATGTTAGAACTGGCTTTTCCACTTCTGTACCCACTTCTGTTTTTTTTTCTCTTGGAGAAACAAATAATGTCTCAGGAGTTTCTTTTGCTGGCTACCATATTGGGGATGGTTGACATCCTACTATTGAAACCTAGAAAACTGATGGCAGAAAAAGGCCTAGTGGAAAATGGGAGTCTGCCCTTGGACTATTTATTGAATTATTAATTTCTGTCAGATGATACATGTGCTTATCCCATTCCCAAGCATGTTTAACTGTGGAAACTGATCAAGGAGAGTTTCGACCTAGAAATGAGAAATTTTCTGATAGCGAGCAATCAACCAATGGAACAGCTTGCTTTCAGAAGTTGTGGGAGCTTCATCACTAGAGGCTTTCAAGAAGAGACTGAAAATGGTGTAGGGTCTCCTGCTTGGGCGAGGAGGGGGGTTTGGACTAGATGACCTTCAAGATCCCTTCCAACTCTGTTAATCTGCTAAACTATAGTATTATATTTGGAACCATTCTAAGACCCCAAAATGAAGATGTCTACCTGCAGATTTTTCTGCTGCTTCTCTTCCACCTGGCTCATGAGGAAGCCTTCAGCCAGGGCCACCGCCTGGGAGCTGGTTTTTGCTCCACACTCCCGAACCCACCTTTCCATTTCAGGGGGCAGGAGGGCCAGGAAATGCTTTAGGATCACCAAGTCCAGCATCTGGGCCTTCGTGTTCCTTTCTGGCTGCAGCCATTCATGGTAAAGTTGGTGGAATCGGTTGCAAAGTCCTCGGGGACCCTCAGCTTCTTGATATTGGAAGCTCCTGAAGTTCCATGGCTGAACTTCTGAACAGGGGATGGTTTCCTCCTCCGGGATCTTCTGCCCAGTGATTGCCCAGATCTTGTCACAGCTCCCAACCTGAATGGCAGAAGGTTCTTTTCCAGTTGCCTCACTTGCTAAATGCGGCGTCTCCATCTTCCTCCTTTCTCCAACACAGCTTTAAATGGGGCCACAGATCTGTTCACGCTCCTTGTTCATGAGATATTTTTGTGTCTAGGCAAGGAGACAAGATGCTTCCGGCCTATACATCTGCAACGGAAAAGCACAGAGAACGTTAACAAGTGACATTTTAATCTTTTAACAACTCCCTGCAAAATGTCAGACGAAGGATTCTTTTGAACTGGCATAGGGATGGCATAATTTGGCAGTTTGAATCTCACGAGGTTCAAGGTTGGCTCAGCCTTCCATCCTTCCAAGGTTGGTAAAATGAGGACCCATATTGTTGAGGGCAATATGGTGACTCTGTAAACTGCATAGAGGGCTATAACCTTGGCCATTAAGCAAAGTGGTTGCCAAGCCAAATGGACTGCACTGATGTTCTTGGAATTAAGGAGAAACTTCTAGGAACTTCCTAACACTGAGGATAACTAACCAATGGAACAGCTTGCCTTCAGAACGTATGGGTACTTCATCACTGGAGGTTTTTAAGAAGAGACTGGACAGCCACTTGTCTGAAATGGTGTAGGGCCTCCTGCCTGAGCAAAAGGTTGGACTAGAAGACCTCCAAGCTCCCCAAGACCTCCAAGCTCTATTCTGATGGATGGATTGATTAGTACCACATGGGGCACTGGAATCGTCACTCAAATGAACCAGATTAAGAGTGAGGACAATTAACCAGTGGAACAACTTGCCTTCAGAAATAGTGAGTGCTCCATCACTGGAGGTTTTTAAGAAGAGACACTAGACATATGAACTGATATAGGTTCTCCTGCTTGAGTAGGGGGCTGAGAAGGGACCAAGGTCCCTTCCAGCTCTATTTCTATTCTCTTTTCTAGATTCTATTCTATTCTATTCCTATCCTATCCTATTCCATTCCATTTTCTATTCTCTTGTCTCTTGTCTCTTCTATTCTGTCTAGTCTCTTTTCTCTATTCTAGATTCTATTCTATTCCCATCCTATTCTCTATTCTATTTTATTCTATTCTCTAGTCCATTCCATTCTATTCTCGATTCTCATTCTATTCTATTTCTACCCTATTCCTATCCTATTTTAGTCTATTCTATTCTCTATTCTCTTTTCTAGATTCTGTTCTATTCTTTATTCTCTTTTCTATTCTCTTTTCTACCCTCCACTTTTCTAGATTCTATTCCCTACTCTCTTTTCTAGATTCTATTCTATTTCTAGCCTATTCCTATCCTATTTTATTTTAATCTATTCTCTTCTCTATTCTTTCTAGATTCTATTCTTTATTCTCTTTTCTATTCTCTTTTCTACCCTCCACTCTTTTCTAGATTCTATTCCCTACTCTTTTCTAGATTCTATTCTATTCCTATCCTATTCTCTATTCTATTTTATTCTATTCTCTAGTCCATTCCATTCTATTCTCGATTCTCATTCTATTCTATTTCTACCCTATTCCTATCCTATTTTAGTCTATTCTATTCTCTATTCTCTTTTCTAGATTCTCTTCTATTCTTTATTCTCTTTTCTACCCTCCACTCTTTTCTACCCTCCACTCTTTTCTAGATTCTATTCCCTACTCTCTTTTCTAGATTCTATTCTATTTCTAGCCTATTCCTATCCTATTTTAGTCTATTCTATTCTCTATCCTCTTTTCTAGATTCTATTCTGTTTCTAACCTATTCCTATCCTATTTTATAGTCTATTCTATTCTCTATTCTCTATTCTATTCTTTATTCTCTTTTCTATTCTCTTTTCTACTCTCCACTCTTTTCTAGATTCTATTCCCTACTCTCTTTTCTAGATTCTATTCTATTTCTAGCCTATTCCTATCCTATTTTATTTTATAGTCTATTCTGTTCTCTATTCTCTTTTCTAGATTCTATTCTATTCTTTATTCTCTTTTCTACCCTCTAGTCTCTTTTCTATTCTCCACTCTCTTTTCTAGATTCTATTCTATTTCTATCCTATTCCTATCCTATTTTATTTTATAGTCTATTCTGTTCTCTGTTCTCTTTTCTAGATTCTATTCTATTTCTACCCTATTCCTATCCTATTTTATTTTAGTCTATTCTGTTCTCTATTCTCTTTTCTAGATTCTATTCTATTCTTTATTCTCTTTTCTATTCTTTTCTACCCTGTAGTCTCTTTTCTATTCTCCACTCTCTTTTCTAGATTCTATTCTATTTCTACCCTATTCCTATCCTATTTTATAGTCTATTCTGTTCTCTATTCTGTTTTCTAGATTCTAGTCTATTCCTATATTCCCTATTCTATTCTCTACTCTTTTCTAGATTGTTTCCTATTCTTTATTCCCTTTTCTACTCTCTAGTCTCTTTTCTACTCTCCACTCTCTATTCTAGATTCTATTCTATTCCTAACTTAGATTCTATTCTATTTATTCTATTCTCTACTCTTTTCTAGATTCTATTCTATTTCTACCCTATTCCTACCCTATTTTCTTTTAGTCTATTCTCTATTCTTTTCTAGATTCTATTCTATTCCTATATTCCCTATTCTATTCTCTACTCTTTTCTAGATTCTATTCTATTTCTATCCTATTTCTATCCTATTTTAGTCTATTCTGTTCTCTATTCTCTTTTCTAGATTCTATTCTATTCTTTATTCTCTTTTCTAATCTCTTTTCTACCCTCTAGTTTCTTTTCTACTATCCACTCTCTTCTCTAGATTCTATTCTCCACTCTCTTTTCTAGATTCTATTCCTATCCTATTTTATTTTAGTCTATTCTATTCTCTATTCTCTTTTCTATTCTTTTCTACCCTGTAGTCTCTTTTCTATGCTCCACTCTTTTCTAGATTTTACTCTCCACTCTCTTCTCTAGATTCTATTCTATTTCTACCCTATTCCTATCCTATTTTATTTTAGTCTATTCTATTCTCTATTCTAGATTCTATTCTTTATTCTCTTTTCTATTCTTTTCTACCCTGTAGTCTTTTCTATTCTCCACTCTCTTTTCTAGATTCTATTCTCTACTCTCTTTTCTAGATTCTATTCTATTTCTACCCTATTCCTATCCCATTTTATTTTATAGTCTATTCTGTTCTCTGTTCTCTTTTCTAGATTCTATTCTACTCTTTATTCTCTTTTCTACCCTCTAGTCTCTTTTCTATTCTCCACTCTCTTTTCTAGACTCTTATTCTATTTCTATCCCATCCTTCCATTTTGGATACCTTGCTTGCTTCTCCTCTGCATTTTGCTTGAATGCAGCCAGTTTTGCACCTCCTATCTCTGCTGCAAAAAACATCCCATCTTCCTGCTGGGTTTCTGCAATGCAAGCGCCTTTAGGCTTTTTTCCATGCATGCAAAAGGGGCGGCAGGGGAACATGGGACCCCGGGCTTCTCCCTCCCTTCCCCAGGACTCAGCACTTTGGAGGGAGAGATTGCACGCCTCCCTCCATGCGTCTCCAGCTCCACGGGAAAAGCTCCCCCAACTCACCGAACAGCCTCCCGCCCGCATCTCCGTCCTCGCAAAACTTTCCCCGCAGCCGCATCGCCTCCTGCAGAACAAAAGCGGTTAAAACGAGCGAGGGTCAGAGTCCTAGAGTGGCCACGCTTTGGACGACGTCGCTCCGCCTGGCTTGGGCACGCATGCGCCGTTGGCCCGGCTGCGGGCGCCCCTCAGTAAAGATGGAGAGGCCCCGGGCAGCCTCCGAGCTTCAGGAGGGGACGGCGCATGCGCGGGGCGACCGGCGAGTGAACTGTGGCGGGAAATGACGTCACTTGGAAAGGCCGGTTGGGAGCTTTCCCGAAAGAATCCGAATGGGAGCCTTTCTGGTGGGGGGAGTTGAGACACTTACAGGGGTGGGCAACTATGGCCCTTTTATGACTTGTGGACTTCAACTCCCAGAATTCCTGAGCCAGCCATGTTAGCTCAGGAATTCTGGGAGTTGAAGTCCACAAGTCATAAAAAGGCCATAGTTGCCCACCTCTGACTTAGGTGTGGGGGGAAATCCCGTATCCCATGTTCCCCTGCCACGAATTTCCATGCTCAAGCCAGGCAACAGGGCTCTGCCAGGCACGACCCTGCTCGTCTGAATGGGCAGCTTTGTGTTGGGGCAGGAACGCAGATAGGCAAAATCCGCATCTTAAATTCCATCTTCTGAGTTCTGGGGAAGGGGGTGGCCCGGGGCCCATGTTGCACTGCCACCCCTTTTCATGCCTGAGGACGGTTCTGAACATTTCATTACCAAGCTAGTGTTGAAACTGTAGGAAGTTAGCACCCACCCCTTTCCTGGAAGAATGAAATATTTTAGGAAATATTAAAAAGCCAGAATATTATGTTTCCCTGGTTGAGAAATGGAGAAGCATTTTTTAAAGAGAAAGCAGCTTCCAGCTTTGTCACACACACCTTTGTTAATGGGCCATAATCTGCAACACAATAGCAACAGAAACTAACACAATGGGACCCATCTAGGACAGAAACTTACCACATGGCACCTGGGAAGATTACATCAGCCAGCAAGGCTAGCTAAGACCCCCACCCCCTGGGAGTCTGACAACCAATCAGGATACTCTTTTTGGGCCCCAGGAAGTTCAAAGCAAGAGAGAGCATAAAACCCCGGTGACTCGCTGTATCTGCCCTTTTTTCTGTTCAGGAACTTGTTGGAAGAAACATCCTTCTGGGTTCTGCTCCAAGTGGGGAAACAGACACTGGAAACATGGAGACTGCTTGGAAAGATGGTTTAATGGTGGACAGGATCACATGGCTTGAGTTCCTGAATAGAAAAGGGGCAGATACAGTAAATCCTCGGGTTTTTATGCTCTCTCTGGCTCTGCATTTCTTGGGGCCCCGAAAGAGTATCCTGATTGGTTGTCAGACTCCCAGGGGGTGGGGGCCTTGCTGGTTGATGGTCACATGTGCTTCCCAGGTCACATGTGGTGAGTTTCTGCTGCTATTGTGTAGAGGGCTAATCCTATCTTTGTTGGATCTTGGGCAATTCCTACTATGGCTCTGCCTGAAGGAGGTAGATCTTTGTTATGTAGAATAGACTGGCCCAGGCCTTAATGGCCCATTGACAAAGGGTGGGGGGCAGGAAGATGGGAGCTGCTTCAAAATATGCTTATCCCAGGGAAATATAATATTCTGCCTTTTTCATATTTCCTAAAATATTTCACTCTTCCAGGAAAGGGGTGGGTGCTAACTTCCTACAATCTCAAACCATGTGATCCTGTCCACCATTAAACCATCTTTCCAAGCAGTCTCCATGTTTCCAGTGTCTTTTCCCCCACTTGGAGCTGAACCCAGAAGGATGTTTCTTCCAACAGAAGGAAAAAGAAGCCTTTCCTTTTAAGGATTGTTGGAAGACAAGAGTTTTCCCTTCTTGAATTCAAAACTCCTGGAGATAACTTCGAAATGATTGGAGGTCAGCTGCTTGAGCGCAGAATTAGTTTATCATTTATATAGGAATGTTGTGGATTTAATAAGACAAACACAACCTTTGGGTTAATCAGAGACAAATTTATATATTGCGCAATAGGTTCAAGGCTCTGTACATGAAGCGTTGAACAAAGACAGAAATTAGGTACAATGGTTTTATACCCTTCTAGACAAAGGATTCTGTTAACTCAGCAATTCATATGGTCATATACATTTATCATTTTTAATTGACATTTCCTAATTACAGAGTTTGCAGAACAGTTATAATAATTCTTCTAAAAAGTTACTGAAGCATAGATTCAAATCATCTTTTGACGTGTAGGAAGTTAGCACCCACCCCTCTCCTGGAAGAGTGAAATATTTTAGGAAATATGAAAAAGGCAGAATATTATATTTCCCTGGGATAAGCATGTTTTGAAGCAGCTCCCACCTTCCTGCCCCCCACCCTTTGTCAATGGGCCATTAAGGCCTGGGCCAGTCTATTCTACATAACAAAGATCTACCTCCTTCAGGCAGAGCCATAGTAGGAATTGCGAAAGATAGGATTAGCCCTCTACACAATAGCAACAGAAACTAACACAATGGGACCCATCTAGACGAGGCTCACCACATGGCACCTGGGAAGATTGCATCAGCCAGCAAGACCCCCACCCCCTGGGAGTCTGACAACCAATCAGGATACTCTTTTGTGGCCCCAAGAAATGCAGAGCCAGAGAGAGCATAAAAACCCGAGGATTTACTGTATCTGCCCTTTTCTGTTCAGGAACTCAAGCCATGTGATCCTGTCCACCATTAAACCATCTTTCCAAGCAGTCTCCATGTTTCCAGTGTCTGTTTCCCCACTTGGAGCAGAACCCAGAAGGATGTTTCTTCCAACAATTGGCGACCCAGCGGGACTCCAAGCTAACCTAACCAATGGACCAGGCCCAGGTAAGCCTCCCTTGCTAGCAGCAGACCCATTGAGTCTGTGGGCATGTTTTCATGGACCTTGGCCATTTGGAACTAGGTTTTAAAGGGGTTTTGAGTTTGAGCTCAAAGGCTGCTTGGAAAGAAGGTGAGTACCTCTAAATTTTAATTTAAAGCATGGGAAAAAAGTATGGGAAATTTGTGTATGCCTGCATGAGTGTGAGTGAAGGCCCTTCTCCCAAGTACAGCTGGATCTTGCTTCCTCTGTGCATTTCCTAGCTGCAGAAAGACTAACAGTCTGGAGAGCATGGGGGTTTTGCCAGAGCACAGGATCTTCTGTTAGGGAAGGAGGAAGTGTGTGTGTGGGATTCCACCTGGAAAACAGTCTGATTTCACCTCTTTGAGTGACCTCTAGCCACACCTCTGCCTACTGCTAGCTCCACCTAGCCATGACCGGTAGGATAGAGAAAGCAAGGGGGGGTCACCAAATGTGGAACTTTGTGTTTAAAAGGAATGGAAGCCAAGCGAAAGCCAAGCGTGTGAAAAAGGGGGGTAATAAAATTGTGAAAAGGAAACCCGGTTTTGTCCAGCCCAGACACGGGGCGAGCGTGTGTGTGTGAGAGGAGGTGCCAGTACCACCTGCTGGGGTCAGCAGGTCCTCCCGGATCCCCTTTTTGGATCCGAAAAACTACGGCGATTCCCTAAGAGGAAGGGGCCCATACTTCGTAAGGGAATCGAAGTCCTTCCCAGAGCTTTTTCTCTGAAAACTGACGGCGTGCCACCCGGCTAAGTCGAAGTGATCCTTCCGGAGAAAAGGAAAGGGTCATGGGTAGCGATAGTTCGCGGGTGGCGGGGACCCCTGTGGAAGAAGTGCTCGCGGCCTGGGACGCCAGGCGGGTGCCCATATTGAGGGGCATGGATAAAAGGAAATTAGGAAAATTGTGTCAAAAATGGGCTTTACTAAGAGATAACACCGGGAGACAAATTTGGCTAAATAAAGGTACTTAAAAGAAAAGGGAAATATATAAATAGGAATGTTGGGTTTTTTTGTTTGTTTGTTTTGTTTGTTTGTTTTGTTTGTTTGTTTGTCTCTCTGTCTTCTATGCAACCACGTGGTATGTTTAAGATTTGTGCCTTCCCTAATTTAACTGAGATTTATGTGGGAATGATCAGTGTGTGTGAAATCTCAGAGTTCTGTTGTCTTCTCTTTGTCTTCCTTGTTTTATGTGTGTGTGTCTTAAGTCTTTGTGCACCCTCGAGGTAATTGTAACTGTAAAATGTATCTGATCTCTAGAGACAAGAATTTTAAATTGTTAGGAAAAAAAAAAGTTGAAACAATGAAAAATGGGAGAGAGAGAAAAAAAGAAAGAAAGAGCCTTTGCCCTGTACTTGTCTGGCCAACAAGAATAGAGTAAAGAGAACTTTTCATTCTGTTTCTGGTTTTTTTCTCTCCTTCCCTCTCTGTATCTTAAAGTAACAACTCAAGTTTATGAGGAAACGTTTTAAGTTCATTTACAAGAAAAAAAATCAGTCTTGCATTTACTGTATGTGTTTAAATGGGTTTACCTGTTCATCTCTTTCCTGAAGCATGTGAATCCAGTTTTTTTCTTATCTGTTGTGTCTCCATTTTGTTGAAACTGCATTATCTGTTTAGTAACTGCAATACTGTTGTGTTGTTTCTTTTCAAACTCTGCCTGCAAGCTATCTACACCCCCCCCCCCCCAATCTGTAATCCTGTTACAATGCCTTTCCTGTGAAGATTACCCACAAAAAGGGGGAGGGGACCCTGTTCTAATGTCTTTCAGCCCTGCACAAAGGACTCTGCAACCTGTGGAAGCAGAGCACATGGATCCAGATGCTGCCTCCAAAGGAGACCCTCCATCTGTTTGAATCAGGAATTGGGTTTGAATCCAGCCTCCACTGAAAGTCAGCACAGCAACCAGAATGGAGCAGACCTTTCCAAGCCTGACTGACCAGCCTTACCACCAAGCATTTTACCAGCAGACATGAAAGAAAAGACCCTGAGATGTACAAGTAAAGACCAAAAGACTTTTTTCAATTCCCAGAAGACAGCTGAAAAGACTATGGGGGGAGGGTGGAAATTCATTGTAAGGTTTTCTTTCTTGTCTCATTTATATTGTAATCCGTTTATTGTAAGAATTGTATTTGGGAGTGATTGCCACAGCAAGTTATGTACACTCTAGATTTCTGTCTGGTGGAGAGGAGAAATATGCCCAAAATGTTTGTATTGCCTGTATTGTAAAAGT